TACCAGTTCGTGCTGCTTGAGCTGATCAAGTGAGTTTGGGAGAAGGTTTCTCGTGGCTGTGTGCCGTTGCCAACCGTGCGTGTTGGTGTGTGGAGATTCCACAAAACTCAAGTCTAGACTCAGGAGGAGTTTAGCTCAGGATTAGGTTATCCTGAAGAGTCCATGTTATTGAACAGAGCGGTAAATTAAGAAGTTGTACTTGATTTACGCGTTTGAAAATAAGTTGTATTTTCTTTCTGGTTCTAGTGGATTTGATTTCTGGACTTGGTCCCGAGGAGTTGGAAACGAACCTCGTAAACATTCTTGTGTCGTTTATTTTCTGCACTAGTTATTTTGCCTCACTTGCGTTTACAGATGCTATAAGGAATCAGAGGGGACATATCTTTGAAGAAATGAAGTATCTTATTGTTCGAATGATCGCTTTCATGGAGGATCGAGCTTTCTCGTAGATAAACCAGTTGCCTTGCGAGCCAAGAAACGATGAAGAAAGAAATCCTTACAAGTTAGTTTAGTATATCGATTTAAATCCTCTTCTTCCCAAGAAACCATCTTGTGACGACGAATAAATCAGCCAAATTCTCTATTCCATGTTGTTTCTTTTGGGTTTTTGGGGCTTTCTTGGATTCAAATTAGGTTTTGGTTCTTCTTCTTCATCGTGTAATTATGAATAAATGGTGTTTGGTGAAGAAGATTAGACGAGTCTTTCTTTTACAATTTCTCTAAGGTTTCAATCGAATGTTCATATCTTTCAGTTTCTGATGAAATAAAAATCAAGAATATGCTTCTATCTATGAATTGACTGTAATCTTTGTAATTTATCCTTCCTCTTATGTTGATGTGATCGTTTGTTCACATTGTTGAAGTTTATGGCTTTCTTTGTGATTCAGATGTGATCAAAGAATCAGGGTCAACTCAAGGAAGAGGTGTATGAAATGGTCGAAATGTAGTTGTGGTTCTTGCTGTTTAGTCTTTTGGTCAATGTTCTCGTTCACTCAGGATCAGATCTGAATCGTGCGCTGGTTCTAGCTCGAAAACGTGTAGGGAGACCGTAACCTTGTAGTATCGTTCATGAAGATTAGGTTTACGGAATTGAGTACCATTTTGGAACATGGGAGACCTCCAAAGACAGACAAAGTTGCTATTCTGAATGACGCAATTCGCATGTTGAATCAAGTAAGAACTCGGCATAGTAGCATTGTAAGATCTTTAGATTCTCCATTGTATCTATTATTTCTATATATTACCAATATGTAGGATGAGAAGAACGAGTTGCATGATGAGAAACAAAATCTTAAGATTGAGAAGGAGAGAATCGAGCAGCAAACTGAAGGCGATTAAGACAGCCTCAGCATCAGCTTTGTTTCTTACCAATTCCGCAAACACTCTCTCAAGCTCAAGCTCCTGGAAGCAAGCTTGTCCCTTTCAAAACTTACCCCGGATTTGCGATGTGGCAACTCATGCCTCCTGCTGCAGTTGATGATACCTCACAGGAACATGTCCTTCGTCCTCCAGTTGCTTAATCTGCCTCTCTACTCTTGACGGTTCAAGTTTCTTCTTACATGCTTTTTTCTGATGTAGTGATTCTCACATGCTTGTGATTGGAGACATAAATCCTATGCAACTTGAAACTGTGAGTCTTGGTTTTTATATCAATCTCATTGTGCAAAAAGTTGGAAATTTTGGAAATCATGGTTTTACAGATTGGATACAACAAAAGAATTGTAAATTTAGAAATCAATCTCTGTGAATTCATTGATTTTGATTCTATTTGGGTTTAGTAAAGTTTTTATTTTTTCAGTTTACACAAAACTCAAAGGGGAATTGCCTTTTGTGAATTGAAATTTTCATTGAGATCGATCACCTCTTTCTAATTTCCCGAAAATACCCTTTTGAACACTATTTTCACTGTTTTGCCATCATCACACTTTATATCTTCATTATCCCAACCAAATCAATAACATAAAATTTCAAAAAAATACATTAAACTCAATTTACTTAAGGGTTAATCGATTTTTTTTTTTTTTTTGCAGATTACGATTCTGAGTTTTGGATCTCCCCTTAAGTCGTTTCCACCGTTCGTTCTGAGTTAAATTTGTGATGCAGGGTCATTATCGTC